TGCATTATGTAAAGGTACAATTCCCAATGAGAAATGTAATTGTGTTGTATACCTACAATGTACCAATAAAAGAATTTAATATAAAAAAAAAAGAAGTTATAGCCCAGGATTTAGCTCAGTGGTTCCGATGCCTGCCTTGCAAGTGCAAGGACCCAAGTTCAATCCCCTGTACCAAAAAAAAAAAAATGTAAATCTGGTTGTTATGACTGCAATGAATTAGCTATTGGAAAACTTCACTAAGCATGCAATTATACATGAATTTATGTACAAGCCTATATAATGTAGTTCTATATGAAGAAATTCATATAAATGCCATTATTCCTGTTTCCTAAAGTAATAATCTCAAAATTCTTTGGTCATATTATTTAGGTCAAAATTTTTGAGCATATGTGCTCTCTCTTATATACTCCTATATACTCCTTATATATTTACATACAAAATATATATTTTTTTAAGAACATAGATCAGGGCCGGGGATTTAGTTCAGTGGTGCCACCGCCTGCCTTGCAAGCACAAGGGCCTGAGTTCGATCTTCAGTACCAAAATATAAATAAATAAAATAGCAATAATAAACTTAAAAAAAAATAGATCACAACTAATATATGCTTTATGAAACATTAACGAACATTAAATTTTGTGAACAAATTAATAGTAGATGTTCTAATGCTTTTCCTCTACCTTAGATTATTTTGTGAATCAGTGTTTTCATTAAAAGCTGCTACAGGAGTTTGGTGTGGTGGTACATTCCTATACATGCCTCTGAGAGGCTGAGGCAAGAAAATCACAATTTTGACCCTAGCCTGGGCAATTTAATGAAACCCTGTCTCAAAATTTAAAAAATTAAAAAGGCCTGGGGATGTAACTCGGTGCACAGGCCCTGAGTTCAATCCTCAGTACTGCCACACACAAAAAAATCAAAAAAACAAACTGTTGAAGGAATTCAAACATACATTCTGTTGAATTGCTACATGTTCACCAAACTGTGTGAAAATAGTCCAGATGGTCTCTTGACTTCCACTCCTTAACCTGTGATAAGTTCTTTGATTCAAACACAATGCAATAAAACTAACACATTTGCCTCAATTCTAAGCAATTTCTCAAAATCAGAATCAGACTGATGCAACAGCCTCTAAAAGTCAGAATAATATTATTAAGGTATACACTGGTTTCATTTATCACCAAAAATCAAGTAATCATGGAAAAATACATGAGAGAGGGTATGTGTATGGGTTTGAAATGAACCTAAAATATAATGTCTATCTCAAACCTGACTTTAGCTTCCATCTGATGCTTTTGAAAGAAAACTGAAATTGAATGAGTGTGATAGGACAATACAAACCCTTTCCCTTGTGTACATTCTTTTTTTTCTTTTTTTTTTTTATGGCATCAGGGATCGAACTCGGGTCCTTGCGCTTGCGAGGCAGGTGCTGGAACCACTGAGCTAAACCCCCAGCCCTACATTCTTTTTAAGGGTAGTCTCTTTATTAGATACAATGTAATGACTGTCTCTTACCTAGGTTCAAACAGTTCAAAGCTAACATTACAGTAACCCATGGGAAAGTTGAAAGGTTTCACATGGGAGCTTTTCTCTGAGTTACCTGAGCCTCTGTTCAATCCTTCATGAATGCCTACAATGTGCTGGATATTGGAGATGTTGCAAAGGTGAATGAGACCATGACCTTTAAGGTCAGTGACAATTCAGAATTAATAATGAATTAATAATGTGATCATTGAGAAAAGTTCATACTTATGTCCAGTTAATACTGGACATGATTAATTGCCAGGGAAAATAGAAGGTATTTGACATTTGATCTAGATGAATGTCAAAAATGAATTATAATTCAGGGAGAAAGGAAGATGAGGAAGCAGGAAGTGAAAATAAAGATGTCAAGGAAAGAGAAAACTGCCTAATTAGGTGCTTTGATACATATCATCTCATAGTCCTCCAAAAACCCTATGAGCTAGCCATTATCTCCACTTTACAGGTGAAGAACCTGGCTCAGGAAAGTTAAGTAACTTGCACAAATCATGCATATAATTATTTGCAGGAAAATTTAATTAGAGGGAATATTAGCTAGGTAGTTACTCCATGATGAGTGTGCAGTTTAAATGATAACAAAAATTTCCTTGTGTTACTATTTATAAGGCTACAGCAGACGCCTATGCATAAAGGAGAACTATTCTTAGAGTAATATTCTTATATATGTTAGGAAAATAAAAAATATGTAAGATTTTTCAGGTGCAAATGGGATGATAGTTGCTAAACTCTTCTAAAGAGGTTATTTTCCTAAATGGTTCCTGCATATTTTCCTTTAATAGTTAGGTTAGCACTTTCTTTTAAAAATATTAGGTAATTGAAGCCACGCGCGATGGTGCATACCTATAATCCCAGCACTTGGGAGGCAGAGGCAGGAGCACTGCTGTGAGTTCAAGAACAGCCTGGACTACACAGTGAGACTCTGTCTCAAAACACTATTTTAAAAAATCAGATAGGGCCAGCAATTTAGCTCAGCAGTTCTGCCACCTGCCTTTTAAGCGCAAGGTCCCGAGTTTGATCCCTGGTACCAAAAGAAAAAAAATCAGATTAATGAAGACTGTTTTGTGTTTGTGTGTATAATGCTGGGGATCAAACCTAGGGCCTCACACATGCTAGGCAAGTGGTCCACAACTGAGCTACACCTCCAGCCCTGGACTTTTTTTTTTTTCTTTTTTTTTTTATACCAGGGATTGAACTCAGGACCTTGTGCTTCCCAGGCAGGCGGGGTGCCACTGAACTACCTCCCTGGCCCCACCTCAGTACTATTAAAGGAACCCAAACTACTAGTGTGGACTACCCCAATTGTCCTGAGGGATTATACAAAGTTCAATTCCTAAATCTAACTCCAAGATGTACCATGCTGCCTCTAGCAAATGAACAAAATGTAGACTAAATAGGAAAGCATTGTAAATAATAATTCCAAAGAGTGTGCTGCTGGTGGTCTTTTAATAGGGGTATCTTATAGTAACCTTAAGTGTTGTATTTTCTTCAACTTTTTATCATAATCACACTTTTTTCAGGTAGCTTAAATCCTCTAGGGAACAAGATGGTATAAAAATAAGTGAACAGATAGGTCACCCCCTGTTAAAGAAATCTACCACTATGTTTGTTATCCTCAGGAAATTACTACAATCAAGGAGAGATCCGTAAGAAAGAACTTTTGCAGAGCTGTGATGTTTTGGGGATTCCACCCTCCCGTGTAATGATTATTGACAGCAGGTAATTTATCTTTTAACAACACAGAAATTCATTGGTTATAATTTAGTGATATACTGAAAAGACACCAAAAACAAATAGGGGGAGACAGGAACTTCTCAAATAAGATGTTCTTAAAATACTTTCTTTTTAAGTGAAAGAATAGTGATAACTTTCTTCAACTTGTTTAAATTTTTTTGTCCTGAAATAGTTATTTCCCTTTATACTACAGCTTTTAATTTTTATTGTAAATTTCAGAATTATACAAAAGTACAAAGAACAGTATCATGAACTTCCATATGTCCATACCTAAACCCAATAATTATCAAGACTTTGTACACTTGCTTTACCTATCCTCACTTAACATCTTTTGTGTGCATTAAGAATTTTGTTTTTAAACCCTAGGTGGGGCATGGTGGTGCACACTTAAAGTCCCAGCATAAGTGTAATGCCATTATTATTACATCAAACAGTTAACAGTAACGATTATCCTTTGGTATTTTTCAATCAGTCCATACTGAAATCTCTCCAAGTAGCACAAAAATGTCTTTTTACTGTTGGCTTCTTCAAATTGGAATCCAAACAAGATCCATTCATTATAGTTGATTGATAGTCTGTATTTAATTCCCCTTTACTCCATGTTAATGATTTAGTTTTCATATGGAATGTCCCACATTCTGGGTGTGTCTATCTTTTCCTCCTGGGTTGTCTAAGTTATTCTTTTATCTTTCTTTTTTTTTGCAACAATGTCTCACTATATAATTCAAACTGGCCTTGAACTCATGGCAGCCCTCCTGTCTCAGCCTCCCGAGTGCTGGGATTACAAGAATGTGCCACCACATTGGGAAATTAACTATAAAAGCCTGATCAGACTTAGGTCTCAATTTGAGGGGCAAGAATTCTCCACAAGGCTGTACAATGTACTTTATTTTACATTGTATCAGGAGACACTCTGATTATCTCACCTATAGTTATTCAACCATGAATCAGTGAGTTCAGTTGGCAATAGCTGTTCCCCTCATTTTACCCCAATCAACGCTTCATGTAATGTTCTCATGATTATAGCCTAAACCATTAATAAACTGAAGTTGCAAAATGATGCATTTATAATTGTTTTATCTATTGTGTGTGTCCTAGCTGTATTTCCTTTGTAAAGCAGATCTATCCCTATTAACTGAGACTGTTTAATTATCCTGCTGTACAATTTGAACCACAAAAGACAGGATAGCCAGGCATAGTGGCTCATGCCTGTAATCCCAGCAGTTAGGAAGCTGAGACAGGAGGATTGCCACAAGTTCAAAACCAGCCTGGGCTACATAGTCAGTGCAAGGCCAGCCTGAAGTACACAGCAAGACTGTCTCAAAAAACAAATAAACAGGGCCGGGGATTTAGCTCAGTGGCACTGTGCCTGCCTCGAAAGCGCAAGGTCCTAAGTTCAATCACCAGTACCAAAACAAACAAACAAACAAAATACGATAGATCCTCAATTCTTTCCCTTTAATTGACATTTTCAGAATAAGAATTTGATCCCCTACATGCCTGGAGTTGTGATCCATTGTTTATTTCTTGGATGGTGGGGGCACAATTGTAGGAGGAACTTAGTTGTTTTTACGTATTTTGTGTTACAGTTTCAGTCATTATGTTCTTTGATACCCAAATTATCTCATCTTTGGCTAGTGAGCCGCTTCATGCTGCTTCATATGTATTCCCTTTTTTGTTTTGTTTTATTGTGGTACTAAGGATTGAACCCACAGTCTTGTGCATGCTAAACAAGTGTTCTACCACTTAGCTGCTGTCTTAGTTACTTCTCTGTCTTTGTTGAGACAAAATACCCAACACCCAAAGTTAAAGAGAGAAAGGTTTATTTGGCTTGCAGTTCATAGAGGTTTCAGTCCATAATTGGCTGACTCCAAGGCAGGGTAGATGACAGATGGGCATCTCAAAGGAGAAACAGCACAGCGCACACAAAGTAGCAAGAGCAACAAGGGACCTTAACATCTTCCTGCCCCTTTTATCTTATTCAGACTACTTAGGGCAGGTAGCACTCACACCATTAATTCTAGTGCTGTCAGACCTAGCATTGCACCATGAATCACACACTAGTTTCAGCCACCTCCAAAACAGCCCCACCTAAGAAAGTATGAGGCTTTAGGGGGACATCTAAACTCATCAGAACACCTACCTCCCCTATATGTTCTTTTGATATGACCTCATTAGTCTTTCATAATTTCCTTGTTTTCAAGGACAGTAAGACTGTTCAGTGCCTTGTTGTGTACCTCCCTGCCCCAGTCCTAGATTTAGCCATTTCTCCAAGAAGCTTCGGTTTGTCATAGTAAGAAATGATATTTAGAGTCTGTAACCAGCATACTTGGAAGCATTTGTTGCTATAGTGTTATTATTTCTTACTGCTACTTGACCTTGGTAGTGGATAGAGTTACTAAGATGTATTTATTTTTTAAGGGGAAAGGAAAAAATCAAAACTTTATACTAATGATTACAATTCAATTTAATAGTTTAGGGGTCTTGCATAACATCTTTGTACAACTGAATCTCTTTTCTCTATCTTGCTTTCCAACAACACAAATTACTCATGTTCTTTAATCTTCTTAAGGATTTCATAAAGCATGAATGAAAAAGAACTATTTTATTCAAAACCATAGATATTTAAAACCAAGACTAAATATAAAATGACTGATCATGACGTTTGCAACTTACTTTGAAATAGGTAAAAAAAAATATATGTATCATAAATTAACCCACACCTGAGCCTGGTGGTGCACACCTATAATCCCAGCCCTTAGGAGGCTGAGGCAGGAGGATTGCTATGAGTTTGAGGCCAGCGTGGGCTAGATAGTGAGTTCAAGGCCAGCCTGAACTACATAGCAAGACCCTGTTTCAAAAAACCAAAAAATAAAAAATTTACCCAAACTGGCAAAATATTATCGATTTGAACCTTGTGGAAAGTATAGAAGTATTCATTATATAATTATTTTAACTTTTCTGTTTCAGATTTGTGGATTTATTTGTTTGTTTTTGGTACTGAGGATTGAATCCAGGGACTTGGTAGTGAGCTACATCTACAATCCTGTTTTTTATTTTTTTATTTTGAGGCACAATCTCACTAAGTCTCTAGGTTGCCCAGGCTAGGCTTGAACTAGTGATCCTCTTGTCTCTGCCTCTCAGAATTCTGAGATTACAGATTTGTGCCACCATGCCCTGCTGTTCCAGAAGTTTGGGGGTTTTTTGGTTTTTGGTTTTTTAAGTTTATTTTGCTGCTAGGGATTAAATCCAGGGCCTTTACCTTGACCTACATCCCAATTCCCTTTTGTGTCTTGCTAAGTCACTAAATTGTCCAAATTGCAGGCTGGGCTCAAACTTGTAATCCTCCTGCCTTGGGCTTCCAGAGTGTTGGTAGTGCTTTAGATTATCCCCTGCTTCAGAATTTTTATAATAGAAAAAATTTCAGAGCCAGGTGTGATGGCACATGCCTGTAATCCCAGCATTTGGGAGGCTGAGGCAGGAGAATTCCCAAGAGTTAAAGCCCACCCTGGGCAACATAGTAGGTTCAAGACCAGCCTGAACTACACAGAGAGATCCTGTCTCAAAAAAAAAAAAAAAAATTAAAAATTCAGTACCATACATACCACATGCCTTTTTTTCCCTACAATTTTCTAGCATATCTGTTTTACTGTGTTTGTTATTTACCTTCCGCTTTGACTTAAAAAAGATGGACAACTGGGATTTGTGACTTTCACAAAGTTTAGGTTTAAAAATCTGTTCCTTACCAACAGTATAGTTTTGGTGGTTATTATAAATGAGTTTGTATTTGCTCTTTTTTTTTAAGTTTCCTTTTCTATTATTGGGTAACATGCAAGAAGATGATAGTACAACTTAAACCATAACAGAAAGAGAAGTTCCTTCCAGTGTGCAAAGAAAAAAAATTCTGATCTAGATGTACATAAAAGGCCAAAATGGTAATTTTGATGATGTTTTCAATACATTTCTAAAATACAAAATTTGTTCTGTTGCCAGGTGTGGTGGTGCGTACCTAAAATCCCAGCACTCCGGAAGCTGAGGCAAGAGAGTCACTGTGAGTTCCAGGCCAGCCTGGGCAACATGAGTTCAAGGCCAGCCTGGAATACATAGAGAAACTCTGTCTCAAAAAGCAAACAAACAAAAAGTATCTTTACTATAATTTGTATCTACTCATGTCATAATTTTCACACACAGGGAGTTAATGGTAGTTTGGACATTGTAGCTATCTTCAAGTAGGTAAACACTAAACAGTTTCTAAAATGAACTAGAACTGACCTTATGTTCTGGTAATAAAGGAAATCTATGAGGAAGACCCAGCTCATTTGTTTAGGAAATGGTTTCAGTTATATAGGGTTAGGGTTACACAACTAAGGATCAAAGAAGAGCTGCCAAATAATAGGTTAAATTTATACACGAAGGTACTACCACCCTTACCACTTTGTAATTTTTATTTTCTACATCATTCCAACAAACTTGATCCTATTTGATTTTGTGCTGGGGGTTTCATTTGTTTTTAGAAGATTAAAATTAGTGCATTATTAAATGAAGGAGTTACTGCAGTAGGCATATGTGGGTGAGTAATAAATCTACAAATGAGTATCCAATTTTCTGGAGTCCATCTAGGTGGCTTCAACAGTAAGATCTGTCCTCTTACATATGAAGTTGTCCAGAAAGAAGATGGATCCAGTGTGGCTCAATAACGAGACCCTGTCTCAAAGAAAAAGAAAAAGGAATCCCTTTGGCTAAATTTCTAATATTATCCTTCACAAATTGTACCTTCCACAAAACACTACAAGTCAACCAAGTTCTTTGTACTTAGGATCGTCTTTTCTCCAGTACCAATAACCTGTTCCTCACTTTTGTCTTGAGACCTCATCAGAATGGCCTTTCACATACATATTTCCACCAACATTCTGTTTATGATTATGTATTCTCTAAGAAGATGGAGACTTTCTTTCCAGCTCTCCTTTTTACTTCTTGAGCCTTCA